ATATACCATTTCGTAGAGAATTGAAAGGCGAATCTTTTGATATAAGAATGATCTCGATCGACTTTGAGGAAGAGAAGGAATTTCAAAAACACTGACAGTCTAATTTATTCTGCGCCACCCGTTATTTGCAAGAGAGTAAATGAAGTAGTTGCAGAACATGAAAGAAAATCTTTCATTTATGTGTTTAGGTCGGTGATTACAGAATTTGAAGCGTCATTAGTGTCACATATTAAAACTGAAGTTTATGCACAAAACTTCATTGGTATTTGGTTTTGTGATGAGGAAAGCAGACGCCGAAAAAAGACAGATTATCTTCAAATGAACAAAGCTCTTGACAACATCTTTCAATTTTTAAAACCGTTCAATAACCTTTTTGAGTTTTCTGCATATCTTGAAACGCATAAATCAGGCCAAATATTTTTAGTTGTATCGCATACGATCGCCGTATATCTTATACCACTTCTTGCGTTACAGCCGTCATATCTACGAGGCGAGTCATTAACATTACGCATTTACGTGTATTGCATCGATAAGACTGAAGAAAATCACTGGACAGAAGAACATAAAAGAAACCTAGTCCATTTTGTGGCTAGTGATAAAGATTTGTTGTATAACAACCTGAAAGAAGAGACTTTTTCATGTGGTAAAAACGGAATAACACCACCGATGACCGTCAACCACGAGCTACTGTCGGCAGACAGCAAACCTTTGCCACCAATTAGCATATTCGGTCGAAAGAACATTAACAATTCGATAAAACATCTAAACGCAGACGGTATTTCCTTTATTAAATTTCAATTAATGATTGATATTTTATTATGTCTACCAATATCGTCCTCAGCAAAAGAAGAAATGTTGAAAATTTGTGGCTTTATTATGAAGCCGACAGCTGTGCACAGAAAAATATCCGTAAATTCCGTAAGCATTATAGACCGTCGAACGCAATTAAATGGTATACAATGCCTTCTTCATTCATCCTGCACGTGCTAAATAAGGTGTGCGGCACAGAAGATGCTGATTATTTACATGTCTTCCGTTTTTTTATCAATGATCTACATAACCAATTAGACAAATTAAGCAGAGAACGGTCAGAGTCGGACAAAGAACATATCGAAAAGGTATATCGTGGTAAATATCTAGCTTGTAGTATATTACAAAATCTAATTGATAATGAGGGTGAACTAATATCGTTCAATGACTTTTTGTCGACGACAAAGGATAAAGACGTGGCTATGATTTATGCTGGTACCGGAGCAACTCGTCCCGGTCCAGAACCCGTGCTGTTTGAGTTGCATATTGATCGTACCATAATCACCAAACCGTTTCTGAAACTCACACCGAAGGAGACTAAAGTACCAGCCGAAGCCGAAGTGCTGTTCTCAATTGGAACTGTGTGGCGTATCAAAAAAGTCGTGAAACCGCCCGAAGGTAATAATATATGGCTGATCGTATTAGAGCCAAGCAAATATCAGGATCCGAACGCGTCAGAATTAACAGACTTTTTAAAACAAGAAATTCCTCAAACATCTACATTATTAACGTTAGGCATATTTTTAACAAAAATTGGTCAAGCCGTCAAGGCCGAAAAATATTATCGTATGTTATTAAACGAACTTCAGACCAAACACGAGGACTACGGCTATGTTTGTAACCAACTTGGGTGTCTTCTGTACGACAAAAAGGATTATAGCGTGGCCAAGGATTATTTTGAAAAGGCAGTGGCGTGCACCAAAGGCACTAAAACTGAAACATATGTAGTCGCTAAAATAAACCATAAACTAGTTCAGCTTGATTCACAGTATTGTCCAACTCTATTGGATGATCAGCTAGGAACACTTGAGGTAACGCTAAAATCGTTGTCCTCCGAACATGCAGATTTACAAACGGCAATTTTAAATAATATTGGAGGCGTTTATCATCAGCTTGGCAATCATCCAAAAGCAATTAATTCTTACGAAAAAGCTCGTGACCTTTTGAAAGAAACCAAACCCGTGGATTTGGGTTCTCTGTCGGTCGTTTACAATAATTTAGGCGCAGCAGAGTATATTAAAGGACACAGTTATACCGAGGCATTGAAATACTTTACATTAGCTCATGATAGTGGTGTGATGGTGTGGGGCTCATCAAATCCATTGATCAAAGATTATTTGCAAAACATGGCAACGACACAAGGAAAGCTAGAAAATAAACCTAAACGACTGAAAACTAAAAAGAATGATAATTCTTTCATATGAATGTTTGTAATAAACTCTAGATTTCTACCAATTCAAATCTCGCACTACGAGTATGAGCTGAAGACTCAGTAAAAAGAGAAATTTTATAAGAGCAATAGCGATGCGTCGCCATGACTACGCGCCTAGCAGCGCCTGCGTCTAATAGAGACTATATTTGAAGCAGGTCTGTTTTATTATAGATAACAGAAGAAGTAAACCAGGAGATCTGTGCATGTGATTAATAGAATTAGATGAAACTGATAGTTAGATCTCCATCAAAGTGGCTGAGATTTTTCTTTTCGGAAAATATGCTTTCCTTTTTCAGATATTCAAAAAATACTAAAATACGCTGAAAAAAGAACGGTGAGACACACTCTAAAAACGAATGTGTCTGTGAGATGGCCGATTCTGTCTACCCGTAAAACTCTTCGAATCTGTAGAGAAAGACAGGTAGAAGAGAGACAGATATTGGGGTCAACACCCGGTTTGAAGATCTTTCGAATCAGGATCAACAAACCAAATGCTTACTCACTAAAATCGACTAAATCCGGCTTCTGGATAAAGGATGTTCCAGGGATGCAGTTTGACTCGTTGATTATGAATGTGGCATTTTGTTTTGATGAAAGCAATGTTTTTGGATCAATTTGGACCAAAAATAAATTTTACGTAAAAACTAATAATTTTTGATAAACGATAAAGAGGTTCGGAAACACGACGCTGTGCTTATGGATCGGCTTGGATACATAATCCTAGTACAGAGCTCGTAAGAATTTAAAAATTGAAGAGAAAAGTGTACTGAACGTTCCGAGACGTTCCCGTATGTTTAGCAGCATGTTCTTTTGTTTAGGAACTATGGCAAAAATACAAATTGCTCATTTATGAAGCGTCTCAGAATGTTCACTACACTTTCTCTTCAATTAAAATTCTTCAGAGCTTTAGGCATGTTTTCATTCAAAACCTGTAAGAGAAACAAAAGTGCAAAAAAGCCGTGACGCATGCGGTAGTAGAATTACATGGCCAGGCTGATATGCAATGCTGATCATGTACCAGTGGACAGACATTAGCAGTAACTCTTACAAATAATTTGTAGTTTTGTTTCTGAAATTGTAAACAGCAATAATGTTGTTATTGTTATAAGCTCATCTATTGCAAAAAAGAAATTCATATACTTGTGTCCACCAAAAGAGAGAACGAGTCCCCATTATTATTGATGGTGACACAAGAAACATACATCAATTCAAAAAGATAAAACAGCTGAGTGAAGAAGAAAATAAAAGATACAACATTATTAAAAAGCCTTATATAAGGCTTATATCATTTAAATGCGCGCAGCTCACGATGCTTTCTTGGCTTCGATGATTTCTTTTTGTATTCGTTTATTACAAAAGCACATGCAGCAAGTGTAACGATGCTACTTCGCCATAATTTTTAGCGTGTTTGCTCTTTTTCGAAAAGTTATTGTAATAAAGCTATAATCTAATCTAAAATGGCAACTAGATGATTAACTAGATTAAACATTTCTCTACAAAATGAAAAGCTTCTCGGCTCTGAATGTTGATTTGCTATGAAATTACAGCTGTTGTACAAACAGCCCCAAAAATCGGTTTTTGCGCTATCTGAAAAGCGTGTCTAAAAGAGTGAAGACGAGCTGATAAATGTTGAACAAGTATACCAGTTTGTAGAAAATTGTTCGCTCTACAAGATGTGATAGCTTGTCAGGTTCGAAACTATTCTAATTAATCTGTATTAATCACAGGAAAATCAGAAAAACGGTAAGCTGTGACCCTTTTGACCGTTTTTTGACACTTCTGACAACAGGAGACAATTTGGTTAAAAAACTCAATTTGGCGTTTACAACGCGGAAACAAGTTTTTGTCTGAATATCTCACAGAGCAGCTGAGTTCTGTTCCAAATAATATCGTTTGGTAGTGGACTCAATAAACTTTCTTTTTTATGTAAAACATACACTTTCGACAGTGATGAAAAATAGATGATAAAAAATGTTATAAAAGCGTTCAGTTCGACCGTTATAAAACACGAAGAAAATTTCTTTTTGTGCAGCAATAGTGCCCTATCCTTACATTATAAAACTCAGAATAAACGAATAAAAGGTGATCTTTCTTATCGGGTGGAATTTTTGGTTAAAATAAAAGGTTGCAAAACAGTTTTCCGATGCCTTTTGCTTTAAGATTTTTGTGGCCTTCTGGAAATACTTTTATATGTTTTTGTAGTAGACACTTGGCTCTTTCTAATAAAAAACGGATAAAGTGTCTAAGATACTCCATCGCAATGCTATATCAAAAACAATATTAATGCAGAACTTTTACCCCATCCGTTATACTGCTCATCAGCATCAAGGATAAGAAAACAGGACGATATTCAAATTTGAATTTCTCCGCTAAAATTCATTTTGGAACGATAAACACTGTTTTTATATACAGCTTGATATCCTGTATCTGATGACGCAAGAAACAAGTCTTCATTTTAAAAATTTTAAGATTTAATTTAAATTTAAAAATTGGAGTATGAAACGTCAAAAAATCTTTTCACAAAAACTACAAGTGTTAATAAATAAAAAAATTGCAGATATATACCTCAGACTGTGCTCTACAAACTGGCGAAAAAACTAGAGGGGGGTCTTGTAGGAAAACCGAAATAGGCGTTGATTTCGTGGTATTGCTGCAGAATGGTCGGGTCTTTTAATGATTTTAAAAAGTTTCAGCAAAATCAGCTTTGGCTCTTCGAGAAATAAATAAACCCCAGTGGATTTAGTAAGAGATCAAAGAACGGTGTTAGTATTTCGTGCCAATTCCAAAAACGCTAATCGATTTCACAATGCCGAAATATTCTCATAAGGAAATAGAAATACACTTTGTAATCACTATAGGAGCGCGAGTACCGTCTCAATACAGCAGGTTATTAAGCAGCCTTGAATGATGCAAATTTTCACAAAAAATATTTTTCAAGTGCATTTTGCCAATGAGTAACTACAGAAAGAAACGATCTTCAATTTATTTTATTGAGAAATTTGCCTTTTGTCTTAAAGTCATAAACAGTGTAAAAGAAAAACCTTTATTAGACATCGGAAAAGTTCTGAAAAGTACAGAATATGCGAATTTTATATTAACTTTCCTTTCTAAAAATACCTATCTTTTTGCTCACTTTTTTTATAATGTATCGACATATACATTTTATTATCAATTGTACAACTAAACTTAATTAAAACACATAGAAAGAATACGAAAGAAAAAGGTGAATTTCATGCAGAGAAGGAAAATTCGTATATCCATCGTGATATATTATATATGTCGGTATCTGAATTGTATCTGATAGCTTTTCAATACCACTCTGCTATTGCACTGCAACTCATACGTTCAAATGAGAAAAAGATATATTTTACTCATTCTCGATAAAGAAGTCATTTTGAAATATAAAGATTTAATAACTATGCAAGCAATTTAATTTTTAGGAATTTTCTTTAAAATAGATTCTTGTTTTATTCTCAATTTGAGAGAAAGCTCATCAATTAAAGAGTAATGAGAAGTATTTTCGTTTGATATGATGATCTATTTTAAGCAATGCCAACCTGGATTGAGGAATTATATCTCAATGCAGAAGACTATTAAAACGAAAGAGGATTCCAAAAGCAGAATAAGTACGGAATCAACTCGAAAAAAATAGCAATAGTGCTACTATCCATTTCAAAATAGTAAGCCCCGTCAGTGTTGACCTTATAGCTCCGGAACGGTGATAGATAGAGAGGTGCGGTTTTCACCATTCGAAAGAGAAATATGGGGCTACGATACCCATGAAACA